ACGTGAACCACCCTGTGTGTAAAAAAAAATTGCCTCTTATGTCTTTTTAAAATCTCTCTCCTCTCACCTTAAAAATGTGCCCAGTAGTCTTGAAATTTCCCATCTTAGGGAAAAGACAACTATCATCAACTCTATCTATACCTCTCATTATTTTATAAACTTCTATCTGGTCACCTCTCAACTTCCTACGCTCCAGTGAATAAAGTCCCAGCCTATCTAGCCTTTCCTTATAACTCATTCCTTCCATACCTGGCAACATCCTGGTAAATCTCTTCTGAAAACTCTCTAGCTTAATAAAATCCTTCCTATAACTGGGCGACCAGAACTGGAAACAGTATTCCAGAAGAGGCCTCACCAATGTCCCCATACAACCTCAGCATAACGTCCCACCTCCTATGCTCAAAGGACTGAGCAATGAAGGTGAGCGTACTAAACACCTTTTTAACCATCCTGTCTATATGCAATGCAAACTTTAAGAATTATGTACCTGCGGCCCAGGTCCCTCTGTTCTACAACACTACCCAAGGCCCTACCATTAATTGTGTAAGTCCTACCCTTGTTTGTTGTACCAAAATGCAGATCAACATTATTTGAAGTTAGAGAGGTCCATTCAACAGTTTAATAACAGCAGGGAAGAAGCGGGTCTAGAGATGGGCAATAAATACTGGCCTGGCCAGTGATGGCCATGAATGAACAAATAAAAATATCGCTTAACATGACTTATTCTCAGAGGAGTTATTAACAGAACTGAACTGGAATGGAGGGCAGGTCTTATGAGGAAAAGTTGAGGGAGTTAGGGCTTTTCTCATTGAAGCGAAGAAGGATGAGAGGTGACTGGATAGAGGTTTACAAGGTGATGAGAGGCATAGATAGAGTGGATAGCCAGAGACTTTTTCCCAGGGTGGTAATAGCTATCACGAAGGGGCATAATTTTAAGGTGATTGGAGGAAGGTATAGGGGAGATGTCAGAGGTGGGTTCGTGGAATGCGCTGCCGGCGGAGGTAGTGGAGTCAGATACATTAGGGACATTTAAGAGACTCTTGGATAGGCAGGTGAATGATAGTAAAATGTAGGGTATGCAGAGTAGATTTAGTCGGATAATCGATCGGCACAACATTGTGGGCCGAAGGGCCTGTACTGTGCTGTACTGTTCTACGTTCTATGTTCTGAACACTTTAAAATCATTAGAAAACAGTCTCACCCCTGATTTCATAACAGAGAGAAAGTTATTGTTGATGTGTCTGAAGTTTACAATGTCCCTGTGGAATTCCTGCTGGAATAAGCTGAGGCTGAATTGATTGACCTCCAACAGTCATGGCCACCTAACCTTTTGTCAAGTAGGCCTTCAGCTGCTGAATGACCTCAGTTTTGCTCTTAGTATCATTCTGAAACAAATGCTGAAGGGGGTGGTAAAAGCAGATACAGTGTTACCTTCCCAAACAAGGCTGAATGCGAACCTGAAGCATGAAAATTTACAGCGCTAAAGGGAGAGTGACTCACTGGATAGCACCATCAAACAACTAGCACAGGAATTGTGGGCCGAAAGGCCTCCTTCTGTGCTGTGTTATTCCTGCTCAAGGATAGATAGTCTCACCCTTCCGTGTGAATTCATCTCCATGTTTGGACCAAGGTTGCAGAGTTGGAAGAACCACATTTTAAGAGGGTGTAGTGTCAGTTCCAAGATAAACTGAAAATATTGGCTGCTGAGTCATTAAAGGAGGCAATAGCTACCCATCATGGGAATAAACTTTGCCCCCAAAGTATGCCTACAGAATGACAACAGTTCTCGAAATACAACCAGAAATGGTTTATTCTTTGTACAATGTGAATAAACTCAAGGCAATACAGGCCAGTACTGCAGGCACCTGAATGGTAAATTTGCTAGAATTGGTCATACCTCACAACATACTGCGATAAACTAACAGGTCAAATCAGAGGTCAACAGGTACAGAATGATGCAGGAATGCCAAGGTTTCACATTTTAAAGCATTTAGTGATTAGTCTAAGCAGTAAATTTCACATTTTTGCGATCACACTATGAACTTGAGTATAAAGACCAGAAATTGCGATCAAAACAGCAACAAGGCTAATGGTTTTCACCTTTGTACATAAATGGTACAGCAACTTCAGCTGAAGCTAGCATACTGCCTGATCTGTGCCACCTCCCTATTGGTTTTGCAAAAATGGCATCTTCCCATTGACCTCTCCATTATATTTGAAACCTGCTGTATTTGCCAAAGTTAAAACCAGAGCCTGAGTGGGTTTCCCTCATTCTTTATAGTTCCAAAGGGATATCCCCAACTGTTAAATGCCTGGGTGAGGAGGAAAGAACTGACTCCCCCTCTTTCTTCACCCATGCCCTTGGTCGGCCGCCACAAGGTTAAGGTTCATAAAGAATCCCATCCCTTTTGTTTACCTTTCTGCCAGACCCAAACGGACCTATGCTTTAAAAGAGGAGTCAACTTAGCTGGCCTTTCTTGACTTAACAAAAAATTAATTTGTTAATTAATTGGCCAAAATATTGTATGACTTCAAGAAGGAATTGATTGTAGTATCTGGTGCTAAAGGGATCAAAGGATATGGGGGAAAAGCAAGAACAGGCTATTGAGTTGGATGATCAGCCACGATCATAATGAATGGCAGAGCAGGCTCAAAGGGCTGAATGGCATAGTCCTGCCCCTATTTTCTATGTTTCTGTGTTTAATGCGAGAAGAATTGATAGTGCAATGCACATAGTTCTAGATTAGAAATAAGAGGGGAGCACAAAAGGTAGAACCTGAAAAGAAAAGAGGTACAGATCAGACTCCGATTTGTTCATGGAGAATTGTTGTGACTGTTACATGGTGGTAGTTGACTGTAGTTGAGCAGTTGTTCCATGATCTTTAATTTTGCAGACTGGTTGAGATTCTGAAGTTCTGATTCCTTTCAATCGTAACTAAATTCCAGCTAAATAACTAAGTTTCAGGGTGGGAGAGATTCCTTTATTGCCATGTTTCCTTTTTGTCTGGCTGCTAACATGCCAACTTCCAACATTCAGGGTGAGGAAGGCCTTTACCTGCAACACAGGGGTGACGAAGAGATAGCTCTTCATCTGTGTCCTTCATAGCATATTAACACTCAAAGCCAAGCTGTTATATACAAGAACGTTTAGTCCCAGTAGCACACTCCAGTTGAGTTGATACTAGCTTTTAAACCCCTGTCTCTCTATATACATCAAGGCAAAAAATACAAATTTGTTTACAGTTGGAACGTAATCCACAGAGAGTATCTTACTGTTGAGCAGATATTATGAGTCCCTTGTTACATTTGTAGCCACAAGAAATGTTTATGTGCCTGTTTGAAGTTTCTTTGGCACCTTTAGATTTACAGTCTGTCAGTCCCACACAGAATTTTTGTGAGCAAGCCACTGAATGTACAAGGACAGTTATTCTGTCTCTACATATAGTCCTCTTTTAAAAAGCACATTTTGAAATTGAGTACCGAAATGCCTGTAATATTTAGGGGTTCTGATTCATTATTGTGATATCTCTGAACTCTCCAAAAAAATTAAATCTTGTCATTAAATCATAAGCACTCCTTTCCTGATGTGATAAATGGTAATTATTGCCACTTAAACTCACTGGCACAAAGAGAAAATCTTTTACGAGTCTAGAGTCTCAGTATTGCAACGTTTATATTTCCTAGGGCAGATTATTTTGTTTTTTTTGTTATCTCTTTAGTATTGCTAAAAATAGACACTTTTTGAAGTTTTCCATCTCAAATTCACCAGAAATATTTGCAAGAATACCAATTCAGGGGGATAAACAACATTTACACTGCTTGAGAGGGGATAGTTGATTGGATGGCAAGTGGACTCTGATTGGTTGAGGAATTGCCATGGCCAACGTAACCAATAATGTTGATTTGACAGTTAACTGCCAGGATTTGTTTAAATTTTAACCTGGTCAGGTTGACTAGTTAATCTGAGACATGAACCAGCAAATAGCTGTCACCTATTTTACTGAGTTGAAACAGGCAAAATGCTAACATTCAAAATGCACTGTCCGAAAAAATTAAAAGTAACATTGAAATTGTGTATTTCCTCTCTCTCTTGATCTCATCTCCCTTGGCCTCTTAATTTGTCTTTTCTCTTTATACCTGATTTGACATTGAATTCATCTGTCTCAATACAAACGTCAGCTCTGAAGAATGGCCATTGAACTCGAAATATTAACAATGTCTCCCTCTCCACAGATGCTGCCAGACCTGTTGAGTTTCTCCAACACTTTCTGTTTTTGCTTCAGATCATCAGCACCTGCAGTTCTTTCTTTTGTTTTGACTCACAGCCTCATCCTTTCCAGTTATGCCCGCCTTGAATAAATTCCGCTCCTCTCTCCATCAGGATTTCTGTTTGAACTATTCTTCTTGCTCATATCAGTACCTTCACTTTCACTCCGATAGTGTTTGACAGGGCCTTTGTCAAATCTCACTTCCAAAGCTGTAGGAAAGAAGGGTCGCTGGATTGGAAATGTTAACTCTGTTTCTCTGTCCATAGATGCTGCCAGACCTGCTGAGTTTCTCTAACAGTTCCTGTTTTTGTTCCTTTAAACCACCTTCCCCTCAAACCTTGTTGTTTTTATTTCTCATTCCTTCTGTCATTACCTGTTAGAATTGCCCCACTCACATGGGCCCCAGATATTGTCGCTGTCATGATAGCCTCATACTTTCAGTGGATAAAAATATGCAGAATTAAAAAGTGCAGGGGCAAGTCTAAGAAACGGTAAATGCATTAAGATACCCTATTGCAACAAAAACAAGCTAAAGATATTTACTGATTCAATATTTTTCAAAACAGACTTTCATCCCTTTCGTCCCTTTTGATTCTAAATATTATCCCATACACTGCACTAGATGTTGGCGTATAGTGGGTAAATTTGTGTGGGGAAGAGTGATCAGAATTGACGCTAGCATTTGGAAGAGAATTGGGTAAATTTACCGAATAGTAACTTTTTTTGTTTCAGTTCCTGCTGCCTACACCTGCCTACATGACTGATGATGACAGCATGACATCTGGACATTGGAATGCTTCAGAAAGCTACCAGCTGAACCCAGCTAGCATCATCGTCCCCATTGTATTCTCTTTAATCTTTCTACTCGGGACGGTAGGGAACAGCCTGGTGCTCGCTGTGTTGTTCAGAAATGGCCAGATGGGACACAACACAACCAACTTGTTCATCCTCAACCTGAGCGTGGCCGATTTCTTCTTCATCATATTTTGCGTTCCGTTTCAAGCCACAATCTACACCCTGGAAGGTTGGGTTTTTGGGTCATTCATGTGCAAGGCTGTTCATTTCTTCATTTACCTGGCGATGTATGCAAGCAGCTTCACCCTGGCTGCTGTTTCAGTTGACAGGTACAGTATGTGAAGGATCGCTGAATCAATGCAATTGCTTTCCAATGACCTATTCCATTGGAGATATTCAGGCAAATGTCTCCTGTAGCTCTCCACCATTGGAGGTCCTTCCTCATCTCACATCTCAGAACCACGTAGTGATTATGTAGATTTAAGCCCAGCATTTGGGGAGATGAGACAACGGTGTCACTGTACTAGTAATCCAGCAAGCTAGGCCAATGCTTTGGTGATATGAGTTCAAATCTCATCAACACCACACGTTATAGGAGGGATATTATTAAATTGGAGAGGGTGTAGAAAAGATTTACCAGGATCTTGCCAGGAATGGAGGGTTTGAGTTATAAGAAGAGGCTGGTTAGGCTGGGACTTTTTTCTCTGAAGTGTAGGAGGTTGAGAGGTGACTTTATAGAGATTTATAAAATCATGAATGGTATAGATAAGGTGAATGGCATGTGTCTAGGGTGAGGAATTTCAAAACTAGGGGGTATATTTCTAAGGTGAGAGGAGAAAGTTTTTAAGAAGACATTAGCGGCAACTTTTTTACACAGAGAGTGGTTTGTGTGTGGAATGAACTTTCAGAAGAAGTGGTGAACGCAAGTACGGCTACAACATTTAAAAGACATTTAGATAAGTACAGGAATTGGAAAGGTTTGGAGGGATATAGGCCAGGAACAGGCAGGTGGGACTAGTTTAGTTTGGGATGCCTGGTCAGCATTGGATTGGACCGAAGGGTCTGATGCCGTGCTGTAAGATTCTATGACTCGATGTCTCTGTGACACAACTGGTGGAATTTGAATTCAACTAGTAAAATCTGGAATTGAAAGTGATGGTGACCCATGAAACTATCATCAATTGCTGTAAACACATCTCGTTCACTAATGTCCTTCATAACAGGAAATCTGCTATCCTTACATAGTCTGCAGGTGGCACAGAAATGGAA